CCCTCACTCATCCAGCTCCTCTCGGACTGGACGCTATGGTACAGTCTTGACCGAGGCTTCATCTGTACGCTTTCCCCCCGATTGCTCTGTCCCTGGGAGTTCTGGAGAGAGTGCGCCAGGATGGCTCCGTCTTCTGCTAGTAGCCCCGTTCTGGCCGGGCCGAGTATGGTTCTCGGACCTGGTGCCCCTTCTCGACGGCTCTCCATGGGAGATTCCCATCAGGAGGGACCTCCTCTCTCAGGCAGGGGGCACCATCTTTCACCCCCGCTTGGAGCTGTGGAAACTGTGGGTGTGGCCCCTGAGGGAGCACATCTCATAGACTCCGGTCTCTCAACTGAGGGTCCAGTCCAGAGCTCCCTCAATGAGGAAACCGCCACCCTTTAGTTACAAGTTTCCTCCACGGTGCGCTAAGGCTGAGGCCTCCGGTATGTTCTCGAGTCCCTCTGTGGGACCTGGACATGGTTTTAGAGGCTCTTTGCAAACCTCCTTTCAAGGCCCTCAAGGAGATCTCTGGTCATTAACTTACAGTCAAGACTGCCTTCCTCCTAACCATATCTTCCCTTAAGAAAGTCAGAGATTTACAGTCCCTCTCAGTGGCCCCCTCTTTTTGGATTTTGTGCCCGGTATGGCCAAAGCCTTTCTTACCCCAGACCAGGGTACGTGCCTAATGTGCCCTCCTCCTTGACACGGCCTGTCGTAATGTAGGCCTTCTGTCCTCCTCCCTTTCGGGACCCAGACCAGCAGAAGCTTAATTGTGCGTGTCCAGTGCGACGCATACGCCCACAGAGCTACCCTGTGGAGGAAGTCTGACCAGTTATTTGTTTGTTATGATCCTTCCAAGAAGGGTCGTCCCACTACTAAACAGACCCTTAGCCGGTGGATAGTAGATGCCATTTCTCTTGCTTACGAGTCCTCTGGTATCCCCTCATCCTTGGGGGTCAAGGCTTATTTAACTAGAGGTATGGTGGCCTCCAAGACTTTCCTGTCGGGTGTCCCCTTGCTCGACATTTGTAACTCCTCAGGTTGGTCCACAGCGCTCACTTTTGTGAGGTTCTATGACCTTGATGTTCGTGCCACTCCTGGCTCCTCTGTTCTGCTCTTACACACTAGGCAGGGATTTGTAAGTCTGGTGGCGTGGGCATTCTCATTCCCATAGCGTTTTGACGCAGCTTGAGTTCATGAAGGGGAACATCCCTAGGTTACGCATGTAACCATTTTCAGCCTGATACGCACGGCGCACACCTGCTCATACAGCGCCTATCTAATCTTGAGTTATTTTTCGCACCTTGTGCTTAAACGTTCAAATACACACAGTTATGTCTCCTTGTCAACACAGTCATTTGGGTCTTAAATGAACATTAATAGTTAAATATAAAGCATGTGTAGTAGTAGGCTATATGAGATCCTGAAATGATGAGATTTTAAAAGGATAATTCACCCAAAAATAAAAATACTGTCATCATTTACTTAGCCTCAAGTTGTTCTACACCTGTATGAATTTCTTTGTTCTCCTCAACATAAAAGAAGATATTTTGAAGAATGTTCGTAACTAGAAAGTTTCTGGTCCCCATTGACTCCAGTAGTGTATTTTTTCGTTTCATACTATGGAAGTCATGGGGGCCCAGCAACTGTTTGGTTACCAGTATTGTTTCAAATATATACTTTTACATTCAACAGCAAAAGGAAACTCATACAGGTTTAGAACAACAACAGACCTTTAATTTTTCGGTGAGCTATTCCTCTAAAGCAGCCTAATTTTGCTGCTTTTACAATTTATGTCAATAATGTTAATCAAACATTAGAAAGAAAATCATTTACTGTCCTTGACCGAATCAATTTTGTAAAATAAATAAGAATGAATGTATATTGAATTTATACAGTGAAGACTATTCAGTTTATTTGTACATTTATTTTATACAATATAATTCCTTATTCAGTACTTTAAGTGTTTCAAGTAGGCCTATATTTTGTCATATATGGCTGTTTACTTGTCTTAAATATAAGCTTGTTTTTACTTAGGCTAGTTTATTTTTTTTATATTTAAATTGGTAACAAAAATTATGAAATTTCAATGCATCAATATTTTGATAGGACAAAAATCTTATTTAAAGCTGTATTTATATCATGGCACACTCGTTTTATGCGTATTTGGCGCCACCTATTGTTGTGGGTGTATTATTGACATGTCAAAGTCTAGACCCTGAATATAAGACGACCGCATTTTTTCAGATGTATTTCCAAGAAAAAAACATCGTCTTATATTCGGGTCAATACGGTAATTGTTATGGGGGGCCCTGCAGTAAGTCATAGACTCGGGACTATATGACATGGTATATATGACAATATATGACATGGAGGCATATATTGGGATTGTACAGAGACATATACCACCAAGATGACGTCTTTTATGGGAAGTCTATGGTTATTAGATCAAGACAATGCCAGAACTCATTCTGCATGTGCTACAACAGCATAGTTTCATTGACACACGTGGATGTGACTGACTGGCCAGCAGATCTGTCTCTTATTGAAAATGTATGGTCCATCATGAAAAGGACAATTAGACAATAATGACTACGGACTGATGAGCAAAAAAGATTTGACAAAAATTTTGCATGCAAAACTTCAAAATGTAGTATCCTCAATTCTCAAACGATTAAGCATTGTAATTAACTCTTTCCCCGCCATTGACGAGTTATCTCGTCTTTTACAAGAAAACGCTTCCCCGCCAAAGACAAGTTTTTACGGCTCTTCGTGTTTTCACTGTTATACACTCGGGGGCGCTATATCATCTTATGAACGAGTACAAAACCTCCCGAACAAAAACACACCTGAACAGGATGGAGAAACTAGCGATCTCTTATGTAAACAGATGCATATGAAAAATAATGCGATCATCAGCAATAGACAGCATATAAATGAAAACTGCATAATGTTACAGAGCGAAATGTTGATCCAGGAAGTGGTATATGTCTGTGCAAGCTTTGGAGGTATTGATGAAAGCGATTTACTGAATTTATCCTTTGATAATCGTACTGAATATTACCCAGATGTAGTTTTTGATAAAAATTTGATTTTCTCACCTTTTTGCTCAAATATTGAATTTTTTATGAAACCTACCTATATTCAAGTGTTGATAAAAAAATAATGCTTTAAGCTAGAATAAAACTGAAAAGTAGAGGCTCTGATCTTTATTTTGGTGTATTGCATATTCAAATATTCATACAGCAAAATATACTGGAGGCCATCAAAATTTAGTGAAAATCAACAAAATCACTGCCGGTGGCTGGCAACTTTTTTCAAAAATGCTGGCAGGGAAAGAGTTAAAAGGACAGTTGCTGCGACAGCGTGTAACAGCCTCTGTCCCAACTTTTTTGGAGTCTGTTGCAGGCATTAAAATAAAAATAAAATTTATATTAATTTGGTCAGTGAAAACATTGGAAATATTTTCTTTCTACTTTTGTCAATTAAGTAAAGGTTAAAGAGAATTAACAAACACAGACTCTTGATTTTTATTGCATTTTACAAATGCTGACAGGGGACAGCGGAAGAAGTGGTGAGGACTGGTGAAGAGGTGGTGGGATAGGGAGGCTGGGTGGGAGTTTAGGGCAGTCCGAGGGTTAAGGGACGGTGTGTGCTGTCCACACACACCAGATGGCCACTCCCAGCACCGGGAGCACCAGGGACAGGGGAACTACCTCCGTAGAGGTGGCAGTGCAAACAGGAGGATCGGGACAGACAGGAGGTTCAGATGAGCTGTATGACTCTAGCAGAGAAGGGAGAATCCAGATATCCTCCATTTCTAAAAAGTCATAAAGTTCTGAGTCTAGTGGTTGCTCATCTTCAGAGACATAATCCACTTCAAAATCAAACAGTCCCATTTCAAGCTCACCCTCAGCGGTGTTGTAGTGGGCGGGGCTTTCTTCCAAGCCATTGCGCTCCACTGAATCATCCACCGTCGCGTGCGATGTAGCCGGCTCTCGCACCTGGTGGGATGTGATAGACTCTGACTCCGGGGTGATTCTCGGTGGCTCGTAGGTCATGCTGGGCTCGGGCTGACGCTGCACGCAGTGGGGTGATGGTGGGCTGGGCTCTGGGCCGGAGTGGTTCTGGATCGGGGGTAGACGCTCTCCAGACACTGTGGTGGCTTCTGCCGATGCTGTGAGGAATCACTCTCAAAGTCTTGGGGTTTCGATGCCAGAAGAGAGACTTTATTATCAGAGACGATAAGGCCGAGAGACCCTGGGGGGAATCTATCGAATCTGTGTCTGTACACTCTTTTATACAGTTTTTCCTCAAGGCGTGTTCAATATACATAGTCGTTATTGTTTATCCACTCTTTTACCTTTTTTGGCTGTGCCTCCAGTCTGCTTTTTTCCACAGCATCGGCAGAAGCCACCAGAACACCTGATAATGGCCTTCCTCCAACTCAGTCCAGTGGTGTCTGGGAGGTCAATGGGGTGATGGTAATTAGCCCCGATCCAGAACAGTGAGTTCAGCATAGCGTTGTTGAACGCCGTTAGAACAGCGAGCTGGCTTAACTCCACAGCATACTCCAAGAAGGGAAGGTTTTTGCGGGTTAATGAGCTATCTTCTGTCACGGTACTGCGCTGGAGGGATGGACACGGAGACGAAGATCAAGGAAACAGTCTTTAATTCAATCCACATAAAGCGTAATCCACACAAGGAACGGCTGGAGACACACGTACCGACAAACACTAACTGAACAGACAGGAACTTAAATGCACAGGTAAATAAGGACAATAGACAAGACACACTCATTTCCAAACATTTATTTTGCCATTAATTGTAATAATCCAGTCAGATTGTTGTTTGTACAAGGAATCTGCCAGTGCTCCACACATAAATATGATCTTATCATCATGAAGAAACAGAACAAACTGAGACAGATTCAATCCAGAGGAACTGTGTCAACGTCTCCAAGATGCTTCAAGAAACCTACCTGGAAAGCTACAGTACTGTTAAAAGTTTTAGGCACTTGTTTAAAAATGCTGTAAAATGAGGATGCTGTCAAAAATAATGTCAAAGATTTTCTTTATAAATTAACTTCTATTAACTAAATTAAATCAAATTTTGGTGTGACCACCCTTTGCGTTTAGCAGCTTTTGCCCTAGGTCCACTTGAACATAGTGTTTCAGGTAGCTTTGCAGGTAGGTCTCTTGAGGTATCTGCATCTGTCTTAGTTTGTTCTGTTTCTTCATATCATTCCAGATAGACTGGATGATGATGAGATCAGGGGCTGGTTGCATAAATTGTTTAGACTAGTCTTAAAAGTTAGTCACCTATTTTTTTTTTCTTCAAGACTGGTCATAACTATTTAAAATCAGTTACGAATAGGTTGAATGTTCTTATTTGTATTGGAAAAGTAAGACTGATTACCCCTTGGCAACTGCTAGTTGGTCAAACTAGTTCTTAAGACACAGTCTTAACATGGTGGCTACGTTTATGAAACTGGCCCCAGATCTCTGCGTGGAGCACTGGCTGTTGTCAGACTCCTTGTGCAAACAAAAATCTCACTGGATTATTACAATTTAATGCAAAAATAATGTTTGGAATGAAAACTGATATTTCCTACTGACATACTACAGTAAAATATAGAAATAACTGACCTAAAACCATTTTTAGCTGGTTGTTATGAGCTGGAGGATGAATTAGGCAGGCAGGGAATGTGGATCTAAATGGGGTGGAAGAGGGCCTGGGGACTGAGGTGGAGCAAGTGACCAGGGTGGAGAAGTGCGAGAGGCCAGGACGGAGCAGTAGGCAAGGGCAGAGCCGGCAGAGCGGGAGGCCAGGGTGGAGCAGGCAGTGCAGGAGGCCAGGGCGGAGCCGGCAGAGCGGGAGGCCAGGGTGGAACAGGCAATGCGGGAGGCCAGGGTGGAGCAGATGACCACCACAGTAGAGTAGACAGGAGCAAAGATCCCCATGGTGGAGCAGATGACCAGCAGAGCAGAAGGGAGCAATGATCCCCACGGTGGAGCAGATGACCACCACAGCAGAGCAGAAGGGAGCAACGATCCCCACGGTGGATCCTCCATAGCCATGACGGGACAGTCAGAGGGTTCAAAAGTGGCCTACTTGGTCGCATCAAGGCAGACAGCACAGTTAGGGGACACTGAGAGTTCAAACCCAGCCTTGGTAGCAAAAACAGAGCCATCAGGGGACACAATGAGTTCAGAAATGTCCTCTGTGGTAACAACCGAGTCGTTAGGGGATGCAAAGAGTTCAGTATCAGCATTCATGGCCATAACGGTGGCATCTGGGAACACAGAGAGTTCTGAAACGGCGTCCGCAGTCATAGTGGGGCATTCAGTGGACACAGAAAATTCAGAAACTGCATTCTCGGCCGAGAACAGGGCAACAGGGAACACAAAGAGTTCGGAGGAGGAAGCCACTGTCTCGGGAGAAAGTGGCGAGGTGTGCACAGCCCAAACACAAAAAATGTTTAACAGATGGCTAAGCGGTGATGGTGACATCCTCCACCACCTCACCCCATGGTGAAGGGGGAACCGCTCAGCTGTAAAGCCCGCTCCACAAAATCACAAAAACTCCCTCGAGGACCATCAATGGTAAGTTGTGATTTATGATGTTCATTAAGTCCACAGTAATAAAAGGAAATCAAAGAATTGTCCGGAAAATCTGTGTGATACACCAATTCCAAAAATGCACGGGTGTGGTCCTTGAGGGAACACTCACCCTGGCACAAGAGAATGAGTTTCATACCTGCTAGATCCATGGTTATGGTCAGTTGTTCTGTTATGAGCTGGAGGATGAAGTAGGCAGGCAGGGAATGTGGATCTAGATGCAGGCAGTTTAATATTAAAACAAGGACAAACAAAGAACGGAAATATGGGGGAAACAAGGAGTGTGTTAATGAAAGTTTGAGGAATTGAGACGCTTACACGGAGGTCATGTAGAAAACTTGTTTACTTCAGAATAAAAGAAAGAAAAGCAGTGAGAGGAGGATGTGACAAGACTTAAAATTTAAAACAATGTTCTCAGCACACTTAGTATGTACTTCTATTCAGAAAACAAAATAATTATTCTGTAACAAAGGTTACAACATCCTCCCACCCAATGAACTAGGTTCATCAATACTTATTTTAAGGTTGTTTAATTGACACAATTCTAAGGGATATATAAGTTGCACAGGTCTTCTTAACACGCTGCCTGATGAAGTATGCATGAATATTGCATGAGCGCACCAGGCCATCAAGTCCTGAATTCAGTTTTTCAATTGTTCCCATTTTCCAAGTTTTACGAGATACCTTGTCTTCTCCAATTAGGACAACATCACCTTCCTTCAGCATAGTATCTTTTATGAAATCACCTTTATGCGCTGACTTTAAGTCCAGCCAATAGTCCTTATGCCAACGGTTCCAAAAGGTAGTCAGGAGTCTCTTTCTGTACTTCCATCGGTGAACAGCATGATCTTTGGTTAGATTTGAGGAAGGAGACTCTGAGACCATAGTTTTGGTTGGCAGAAAGGTTAGTCTTTTTCCTATCAAGAAATGTGAAGGTGTTAAAGGTTGGGGCTCATCTGCGTCACTGTGTATGTATGAAAGTGGTCTAAAATTCAAAACTGTTTCCACTTCTGCCAATATAGTAGTCATCTCTTCAAAGCTTAGTGAGGCTTTTCCTAGAACCTTTTTCAGACAATTCTTTAATGATCTAACAAGTCTCTCCCAAGAGCCTCCCCACCAAGCAGCACGCTCCACAATAAATTTCCAAGTAATAAACCTTGAAGAAAAGAAAGAGATTTTAAAGGACTTCCACAGTTCTTTCAAATACTGGTCTGCCCTTTTGAATGTTTTTGCATTGTCTGAGTATATTACTTTGCACAGACCTCTTCTTGCTATAAATCTTTTTTTGCTGTTAATCTTTTACAAACATGACAGTGTCCTACAATTTGTTTCACAAGCTGTCGACCACGTAAAATCCAATATTTCTCTCTCACCTGAACCAGTGTGTCTCTTACCCCTGAATGCATCACCGTTTCATGACAACATTTAACTAGCAATTCAGAGTATCTTTGCTTTGTGGGGAGCACCCATGGGTGCCGCTCTCGGAAACTGAACTCGGACTGTTGTAATCGTCCTCCTACACTATTGAGTCTATCCTCATCTAAGAACGGTTTCAAATATTTAATTGTAGAGTCCTTTTCAACCATTTGACCTAGTCTGAGCAAATTTATTTCCTTGCTGAAACTCTGCTCTTGAGTTATCCTTACCAAGTATTTTTCAGCTGCAAGTAGCTCTTCTGTTGTGAGTTCACCTTGGATTTGGCATCTGGATTGAGCATTGGTTATGAACCTCTTTATCCATGCTGTTATTCGCAGCACTGTTTTCAGTCTACTATATTTCGTTAAATCCAAAAGATGTTCTGTTGGTGCAATGCTGCTAAACTGCACGGTGACATGAAGTTTGGATCTTAACTCAATATTAATTTCAGCAATGCAGCTTTCTTCAGGCTCTTCCGAATGACCAGGAACTAACGATGCTGGGCCATACCAGCAGAGTGTACTGTGTATGAGTTCATCTGCACTCTTTCCATGGGTAGCTAAATCACCTGGATTGTTTTTTCCATTACAATGTGACCACAATTATGGATTTGTGAGATTCTGAATCTCAGCTACTCTATTAGCTACAAATGGTTTCCATTTTTGTGCAGAGCTCTGAATCCAATGTAAGACAATTACTGAATCTGTCAACATTTGAATTTGATCCTTTTCCATCTACAAGGGACAAAGCAGATTATGTCCTATTCTAGCTCTGATTAAAGCTCACATTAGCTCTAAACGCGGTAAAGTGAGCTTCTTCAAAGGAGCAATCCTTGCTTTTGATGCTACAAAACTGGTTACAGTTTCTCCACTTTCATTATTTGCCTGCAAGTATGAAACTGCACTGTACGCCTTTTCACTAGCATCACAAAACACATGCAATTTGTGTGTTTTAATGTTAGGTTGGATCTAAATTTCATACCACCTTTGGTATAGCTATCAAGTGAAGCTGGGGCACTTCAGAACACCACTGGTTCCACATTCTTGTTAAATCTGGAGGTAACTGGTGATCCCAACTAAGTCTCCTTTCCCACATTTCACTCTAATAGTGAAGGGAGTCAAGAACCCAATAGGATCAAAAATGTGGGATGATGTTTGCAATACATTTATCTTTGTGTTGTCCTTCCCCTTCAAAACACTCAACAGTTGCTTAGAATCAAACACAAAGTCATCACATTCTGGTCTCCATACTAAACCTAATACTTTTAGCACATTTCCACTGCCATCCGATACCAGGTTTTGCTCCATTTCACTTCCTGCCCATCTTGCTCTCAGTTCTGATGAATTTGTCACCCATTTACACAGTTTCATTCCTGCATCTAGTAGGATGTCTCTGGCAGATGTGGAAATAGTGTAAGCCTCGTCCACATCACAAGAACTAACTATAAAATCACCACATAAAGCGATTATCTTAAGGCTTCCACTGCCTTAGGCTGTTCTGACTCCTTTTGTTGAATGTGGTGTCTAATAGTTGCGGCTAATAGGAACGGGCTTGGGAAAACTCCCAAAACCACTCTACACATACGCATAATGCACAACTCATTTTTAGTGTCATCAGATGGAGGACCATGTAGTCACAGAAACCTGACAGCATCCATTTCCTTTTCTGCCAGAGTAATCTGCAAGAACGCTTTGGTGATGTCAGCAGTGAATGCAATTTTGTGCAATCGGAACTTGATAAGCACATCTAGCAAATCAGGATTCAAGTTTGGTCCAGCGAGCAAGCAGTCGTTTAGTGATGGCCAACCCTCCTCATGTGAGGATGCATAAAATACTACCCTTAGTTTAGTTGTTGTTTTGTCTTCTCTAAGCACAGCATGGAGTGGCAAATAGTATTCAACAGTATCTGTTTTTTTCTGCTTTCAAGTCAGTTACTGGAACATCTTCACAAATTGCCTTGCTGTAAATAGTCTTGTATTACATCTCTGTATTCTGTGAACAATGTTATGTCTGCTTTTAGTCTTTTATGCAAATTTTCAAACCTTTTCTTAGCCATCCTGAAGTTGTTTGGTAGTTCTGTGTAGTAAATCAGCTCAAAGGGGAAATATGAATAATTAATCATAACTAGTTATAATTAATTATAAATATTTAGATCCGCTGTAAGCATTCATTTGACCTTTCAGTGTCAACTGTCTGTTAATTCTAAGAACGTTAATTTCCAGGTTAAGGAAAATAACTTTCTTACTGTACAATACTACACAGAGC